AGGGCGACATACTAAATAAATAAATAAAATCTCAAAAAAAAATTAAAAAAAATATCAAACACATCTTTTTTTACATTAACATTGTCCTAATGGACTGAACAGAGAAGGCAAGTGATAGGTATTTTATAGACTGGAAGAATTATCTTACCTGGAAGATCACCCTTTGAGATGGTCTCTGTATCTAAATTGTAGGTGTCCTGGAGACGCAACAGAGCTTTGGCTGCCCCAACCTGATCTTCATCATTAGGGAAGTACTGTCTCTGAATGGTTAGGTTAGAGATAAAACCTTAAAATAGAAAAAGAAAAAGAAGAAAAAAGTAAGTTACTGTGGTATCTGTGGAAACAAGATTTTTAAAAAATTGTAAAAGAATATGACAAAAAAGCCAGGCATGGTGACTTACTCCTATAATCCTAATACCCTGGGAGGCCAAGGTGAGGAGAGGATTACTTGAGCTCAGGAGTTAGAGACCAGCCTGAGCAAGAGCAAGACCCCATCTCTACTAAAAAACCCCAGAAATTTAGCCATGTATGTTATGTGTCTGTAGTCCCAGCTACTCAGGAGGCTGAGGCAAGAGGATGCTTTGAGCCCAGGAGTTGGATGTGGCAGTGAGCTACAATGATGCCAGTGAACTCTACAGATTTCCAATCCAGAGTATTTATAAGGATTTTTCCCCATCTACTTTATTATTTCCCACCATACCATGAAAGTTCTACATCTCAACAAGAAAAAAAATTAAACACATAGAATGAGATTTAACATACCCCTAACTTATTTAAGCAAACCCTTTCTAATGTTGCCTAAGTAATCAGAGGTCTAATTATATCTGTATCAGAAAGTAAAAAATAACTAACACAAAAACTGAATTCTTAGTTATACAATGTAGCAAGAAAAAAGAAAATGACTGCACTGAGCTTGAGAAATGAACAGATTTGTGAATCTCAAAATGATATATATTAGCAATCAATTATACTTTCAGATACTAGATGATAAGTAAAATCTGTGCTCTTATCATTGTCTTCTACATACCACACATTATGTTAATATGTAAACATATAATTTGGTAGAATTCTTTGAAGGAAAAGATGTTAATTATACGTTTAAGATAAACAGCTAAACTAGTTTATTAAAATATATTTAGACCTGTTTAATTATTAAATATAGTGTTCATCAATCAAGATTTACTACATAATGAAAACTAATCTTAAAGAGGATTTATATAAAGTATAGCAAAAAACAAACAAACCAATTACTAGTTAACAGTATAACCCTTAAGGGTAATGGATGCTAAACATTCTTTAAGAAACAAACAAAAAAGGTAAAAAACAAAAACATAAAAAAAGTGGCTTAAAATTTTAATATAGGTGTCATCATGTGCAAATAAAAATTACACATGCGACCCCCCCCCATTAAATTATAATCAGCTACATATACGTTGAATAGCAAAAGACCTGGCTTTTTTATGTTAATGGGAATGTTTAAATGAACAAATAGCTGGAAGAGGGCTAAAGTTCTTGGTGTTATTTTTCATGTGTGTTTTTCCCCCCTTTTAAAAGATGTGGTCTTGCCATGTTGCCCAGGCTAGAATGCAGAGGCTTATTCAGAGGCTTGATCCCCCTACTGATGAGCATGAGAGTTTTGACCTGCTCTGCCTCTGACCATAGTTTTTGGTTCTAACATCAACTTTCAATCACAGCCTCTACATGGAATTTTACCAGTAAGTTTTACAGAAGGCTCTAATGTTTCTTATGCCCCAAACAAAATCTAAGAAGTTGCTTAAATCCTCTGTAATAAAAAGAGAGAGAAGAGAGACACACATATAGACACACACATACACTTCCTTAAAAATGTTCCCAACTTGTTACACATAGTAGAGAAAATAGTCAAAGGCATTTCTCTCTCATAGTGAAGAAGTATTTTCAAGTACTTGCTTTATTTTTTCTTTTCAACATTCCCTGTCCTAGGCAGAATAGCTTCACTGCTTACAAACACTGGTAAACACCCTTGAAGCATTTCCTTTCTCTCCCTTGTTCTCTATTTTATTTTTTGCCACTTATATTCATTCATTATTTGAGCCTCTAGTATGTATCAAGCATAATCCCTTTACCTCTCTACACTCTAGACTTAGTCTTTTATATCTGCTACTGCCATATCTAAAACATCTCTACATTCTAACTATAATTTTATTATTTCACATAGAAAGACTTCCTGTCACTGTTTGCAGCCTCAGCTTTTCACTTTATTGTCTATGTTGAGTAAAATAATCCTAAGGGTCAAAAAGGTAGGTACAACAAAGCTAACCCTTCTCTTTATGGTAACACTCCCAACATTTTAAAAATTGATTGAAGACATACTTTTTTTTTTTTTTT